TAAAGTTTAGATAATATATCTGACTTCTTAGAAATGAGATGTTCTCTTCTGGGATGTTGTTGACAGTTTATTTACATTTCATTTTTCATGAATTTCTGAAACTTTTTATAGACAACGACTTCCAAAGCAGATTTGTGTGCCCGTGGGACTGTTTCTCTTAGACTCTATGGCCTAGAAAGCAGAAGCCAAGTCTATATGCTTATTATTCATGCTGTACACATAAAGCAATGCTAGAAGTACAAGCGGGTGAAGCACATTAGCCTTGAGTTAGAGGGGGCAATGGGCCTGAATGGTCCACACCTATGAAGACAGTGGCTCTTTGCTCTTAACACAGCAAACACCTTACAGTGTTTGCTTCGTGATGATGTGCAACCTTGGGAATGTAACTCTTCAGTGTTAGATGTTGGTCTTGTGGTTATTAAAAAAAAAAACAAATACTTCTAAATACTCACTTAATTGTCTTCAGTGGCTCATGCTAGCTAATTGCTGTTTTAAAAACCTACTAAATATATAGCTACAAATGAAAACACCATGACTATAATGAAATTGGTCCTCAAAACAAACCCCAACTTTTAGAGTTATGGAAGAACTATTAGAATTGAGTGATTTGTGTGGTGGTATACTATTTATGATTTATTAAGGCTTGCCTGAGGACTTGGAAAGCAAAGCCAGCCTCAAGCTATAAAGATCAGGCAGTGGATGCATACCCCTTTAATCCCAGGACTCAGGATTAAGAGGTTAACGGAACTCTGTTAGCTCAAGGCCACACTAAGTACACGAAATTGATCCAGTCCTAAAAGAAACATCAAGGTGATCTCAGCACCGGGGATCACAGATATATAAGACAGGAGCAGGGTCTCAGAACTGGCATTCAGTCTAGAGTTAGTCTCTAGTCACGTTGAGGAAAGCATGGCAGTCTGAGTGAATCTGAGGAGCAGTGCAGTTGTGAGCAGTTTGAGGATCGCCCCTTTGATCTGAGCTGAGGTAGAGGTAAGAGCTAGTGGCTGGCTGTTTTGCTTTTCTCATCTTCAGTTTGAAGTTTGAACCCCAATATCTGCCTCTGAGTCTTTTATTTACTGTGTTACAGACCAGTGATTTTTTGCAAGGTTAAAAATGAATATATGAAGAACAAATTGTAGTTGAGCGAAATGCCCTCAAGCTATGTCTTCATTTAGTTAAATATGGTTCCTGGGAGTGTGCCATTTGTGATTATTTTCTCCTTATCCCACCCCAGGAGAGAATTACTGCTTCTGATATTGATAAGAGATGGAAAGGGCTGAGATATATATAGCAGATGACTGAACGTGAAAGAGTAAAAGGAAACCAAGCATTGAATATGTAGTTTTAGGGAGGTACTTACTGTTGCAGAAACAGTAATAGACAAACGCTAACAGCATCAAGCACATTGAAAAATACTCCAAAGGCTTGATCTTTTTATCTAAGATAAGAAGTAAAATCACATGTGTGAAGTAAAAAAAATTACATGTGTTTATATATACTGTATACACATGTACACTTACATTTGCACAAATGCCCACACATAGAAATGTGAGTATACTCAACATGAAAGTGTAAGTAGAAGATTTGCGGATAGAAAAGATTTATTTCCAAATAAAGTAACTATATCAAGAAAAACTGAAAGAAACAGATTGTATAGAAAATTCTTAAGGGATTTCTTTGGCCATTTGAGAAGCACCAAGTGGAAAAGCTGGTTAGAAGGCAATACCGAAGCCTCAATACTTTATACATGCTATTGCTTAATAACAGAAAAAAAAACTATGTTACAAGGGAGAGCCTGGGGAGATGACTCAGTGCTTAAATGATTTCTGCACACACACACACACACACACACACACACAAAAATAATAATGAGGACCTGAGTTCAGATCCCATGCTCCCACATAAGAATCTACACATGGAAGCACATATTGTAATACCAGTGCTAGCTACAGGAGAGGGGCAGACCCCAAAGCTCACTGGCCACCTAGTGTCACCAAATCAATGAGTTCCAGGTTCTTTGAAGAGATAGTATATCAAAAACTAGTGTGAAAGACCAGTGAGATGGCTCAGCATGTAAAAGTGTTTGCTTCTCAAGCTTGATGGCCGAAATCCAATCCCCCGAATCCACACTGGATGCAGAGCACTGACTCGAACCTCCACACAAGACACACAACATAGATACACACATAAGTAAGTAAATTTAAAAAATATCTCCTGGGTAAACGTGGAGGGGTAGAAAGGAGGGGATGGGGCATGGAAACATGAGGGATCAAGAAGAAGGAGTTGGGGAGAGCCAGAGGAAGGGAGGAATGAAAGAGAGATCTTGATAGAGGAAGCCATTGGTGGGTTAGAAAAATTTTTCTAGCACTGGTGCTAGAAAAATTCTCAGGAATCCACAAGCAAGTAAAGTAGTAAAATAATACTTGAGACTGGGATACAGGGTAGTAGCCATGTGTTTTCCCAGCATGCATTTCCCTAGATTCAATCCCTAGTACTCCAAAATAAAAATACAAAATGGTTCTTGCAGAATCCTTTCCAACTATGAGCAAAGCCCTGCAGTGTCTGACTCCAAGGTGTTGAGACTCAATATAGAGACTGGACTGGAATCTGGAATGCCTACAGAAAAGCGATTCTGTGGACATGGAAAGAAAAGGGAAGACTCGAGAATTGTTCCAGAAGAAAACCCAGAAGGATTTGGCATATAATAATGTTCCTGTGCCAAAGAAGAATAAATAATAAAAATAGCTCTCTTGTTCTGACACAAGAAAGTATATTTTCATTGCTATAGCATCAGAAGCAAACAGACACTGATTTTTCTCTTGGTCTTTCAAAAGAAAAATTGAAACATGCATGATCATAGATAATTTTCCACCATTATTTTCTTTTTTCTCTCCTGTAATAACACAAGTAATAAAAAGCCAGAGACAGATATTGGGGTTCAAGCTGAAGATCAGAAGAACAAAGCAGCCAAGCCAATAGCTCTTACCTCTACCAAGCTGAAATGGCAATCCTGTCTCCACGAATCCTCAGAGACAAAAAAAAAAACTCCATGAATCGTCAGAGGCAATGCTCTCCATGAATCCCCAGAGGCAAATGCCTCCCTGTCCGGAAACTAAATCTCACATATGACCCTTTGTTTCTTCCTTTTATACCACCCTTGTGCTGAGATTAAAGGCATGAGCTATGTTAGTCTTTTTGGCTAATTCACTCTTGTGTAGCCCCAGGTGGCTTTGAACTGAGAGAGATCTCTGTCTCCTAAATCCTGGGATTAAAGATGTATGCTACCACTGCTTGGTCTCTAAGGCTAGCTAGTATGGCTGCTGGGATTAAAGGTGTGTATCACCACTGCCTGGCTCTATGGCTGTGGCGAGCTTTGCATTTTGATCCCCAGTGGCTTTAAAAGATCATAAGTATATCACCACACTCCTGCAAGATAAAATATAGCCATAACATTTCAGTTTCAGGGGCCAGAGAGATGGCTCAGTGATTAAGAGCACTGACTGTTCTTCCAGAGATCCTGAGTTCAATTCCCAGCAACCACATGGTGGCTCACAACCACCTTGAATGAGATCTGGTGCCCTCTGCTGGTGTGTATATAGGCAGAAGACTGTATAAATAATAAATAAATAAAATCTTTTTTAAAAAAAAAGATTTGAAAAAGAGAATATTAAAAAAAAGATTTCAGGTGCAGTCAACCCTCTTCATCTTATTTCATGTGCACACATGCACACACACACACACACACACACACACACATATGCACGCACACACACACACTTTATCAAACAACATATTTGAGAAGTGATATACAATTAGCAGGATCTTTGTTATGTAAAGTTAACTCATCTTTTCTTGTCATCACCTTCCATTTCTCAAAATTCCAAAGCAGAGAAATTCCAAAGCAGTAGAAATTACTTGCCGCTTCCTGAATGATTGTTTATACATCTATGCTTAGCAAATAGCTGTAGATGATGGACCTTCTGTCTCAAATAATCTTCCCTCTTGTTCACTGGAAAATACCTCATCATTTTAAAACCAGAGCACTCATTGTTCCTCTGTGATATATGCCATGACATCCCATCCATTCTTCAACAAGCTTTTTTGGTAGTGCCAAGCAAGCTAAAGAACTACAAGTAAACAAAATTAAATTTCTGTCTTTCAGAGGAATAGGAGATGTTCTGTGTTAAAGTCAGAGCTGTACAAGGTAGAACAGACCAAGAATGCAAAGGAAAAGTTTTCCAAGTCTTTGTGAAAGGCAATAGACATTTTCTGTAAAGCTTGCACATACTCATAATTGCTAGCACATTTTAGAATAATCATCTGTGTGTTGTCAGTTCGGTAGGCTGATAGATGCCAGATGCCAAGACAGAATAAAAGAAATGTATTATGCAATATTATATAGTTATATAAAAGGCCCTGTAATGCTAAGGAGAAAGGTATTGAATAGAAATTTGCCTTGTTTGTACATATGTGAACATAATATACATATATATATATATATATATATATATATATATATATATTAACTATATAAACTTAAAATTATTACCTTTTGTTTTTAATTAGGCTTGCCTGCATGAGCATATTTGGGAGGTATTGGAGCATTAGCACCTTATCAGTGAGCATTCCAATAAAGAATAAGACCCTCCTACCAACCACCATTAATTGTCAATGGTCCCTCAGAGAAAGACTGGGCCTTGTGAGCCTTTCCCACTCCCATTATGAATGTTGACAGGCCCAGGCTTATACTGGTCCTCTGCAGAAAACCAGGCTGCAGGGAATCAATGGCCCTCTATTTATCTTTATTTTACATTTACTTTCTTTTTTATTTTAATTTGGAAGTAAAAGTGGTATAAATCTCTCTATTCAGAACACTAAATCAACCAATCTGTGAGAATTCTGATTTGTGCCAGACAGATGTTATTATGACTATATGATCAATATTAATTTAATAGGAAATATGGTTGTAAAGGATGTGAGAATAAAGAGAAAACAACCTATTATATTTTAAATACTGATTTTATTTTCTTGTTGGTAGTGTTACATATTTGTTCACTCATTCAATAACTTTGTGAGAAAAAAGAAATGTATTGTGGATGAAGAAATGTATTGTGGGTAAAGTTTATGAGACATAAGGAAATAAAAAGTACAGACCACGAATACTATATTTGTATTTCTAGAAGTTTCCACAATGTCCAAAATTCAGTAAGTATGTTCCAAAGTATAATAAAATGACAGTAAGTACAAGATTGTAAGTTAAATATTATGGATGCAAAATGCATAAAACTTACTGTTGATTTTATTATATAATTCTTGTGAAAATACTATTGGACAACAAAACCTGAGTAACAAAGGAAACAGGGCAAAAGATATTACTACTAAACTATAACTCTCACATAAAACATCCTTACAGCAATTAGAAAAGCCTGCCAAATTCCAGTTTCCCCAAGACATTTTTGTCATAGAGTCTTATTAATCTCCATAGAAATTAACTCAAGAATGTGTTTAGCTCATGCCAGAACATCTTTGAAGACTGTAAATTATAGAGAATCTACTTGAGGCTAAGCCTACTGAGTGTGCAGTATTCTGTACCTCTGCAATCATTTTTTACATGTGATTTCAGAATGCTTTGTTGATTCAGATTGCAATATAAGTGATGCAAGATAAGTTTTTCCATAGACAATGAGTTTCCAAGGATAACTGGAATTCAAAGGTTCAACTGGTCCTTAGGAAAAAATTAATTAAAATGTATACTCCTGGAGTCCTGGTAACTCTTGAACACAGTAACAAAGAAGTCACTAAACTTTGTTGGAATGATTGCCAAAGATCGCAATTAATACAAACATTTGTGCTTTATTAATGTGATGGGCTGGGGCATTCTGACAACACTTGAAAATGAAGTTAATTTTAACCTTAGTGTTTGCAGGCATATAGAAGGTGGGCAATAGAGATGGGCATTGTGTCAAAATGAAGAGCTCCTCCAACTAATATTTGAGATGTCAAAAAGGCACACTGGAGAAAGGACAATCTTCAGTAAAGGGTGCTGAGGAAAATGGACATCAGCATGCAAATTAGTGGAACTAGGCTCCTCTCTCCAGTTACAGAAACCAGCCCAACATGTATTAAAGGTTTAAATAAAACTGAAGTGACTATGGAAAACATTCTAGGAAATTTCAAGGAGCAAGGGTTATTTTTAGAAAATATTATAAAAGTGTAAGAAATAAGAACAAAAGCAGAGAAGATAGTGTAAAGAACACTAAAAAATGAAAAGGGAAAATGCCAAACAGTGGGTTAATAGCTAGACTACATAAGACCCCCAAACGACTATGCAGAACAATCTGATTTTAATACATTTTACTTATTTTTTAAATTTTCAATGTATTTTGATATCTGCCCCTAGATTGCTACCTCAAACTCCTCCATTGGGTCTCCCTCCCATCTTCATGTCCTCTTTTGGGGTGGTCACTGAGTCCAGTTGACATTTCTAGTATGTACATGGGTGTAGGGTCATTCACTGAAACATTGACAACCTACCAGGAGCCACAATCCAGAAGAAAACTGATTCTCCTTCCTCCAGCAGCCAACCACTGCCATGAATCCTCTGCTAGCATTGGGTTTCATGTGCCCCTCCACCATCCAGGCTATGATTTTTGCCTGGCTTGTGGTCAGTCTTGTACAGGAAACAATAGACACTCAGAGTTGTGTGTGCAATAGCCTTGAAAGTCTAGAAAACACTGTTTTGTAGAAGTCCTCCCCAACCTCTGACTCTTGAAACTTTTCAGCATTCTCCCCTTCAATGGGCCCTGAGGAGTAAGGAGAGGAGGGTGTGACATAGATGTCCTATTCAGTGTTGAGCATTCCACATCCCCTTTTTCTGCACAGTAATAATCCTAAGTCTGTATTAACTGCCATCTCCTGAAAAAAATAGGCATTTTGATTAGGGCTAGGAACTTCAGTAGTCAACTGATATAAAAATATTTAGAAGGGAGTTTGATCACATGGCCATTCAGCAAAATAATAGAAATATGTTCTCCTTTGGGCCTATGGCCTACCCAGTCAAAGGTTTTGGCCAGGTTTAGAGTGCCAGGCATGAGTTGTATTGTGTGGAATGACCTTAAGTACAAATAGAGAGCAGTTGGTCACTGGTATAACCTTCACAATCATATTGTATTAATGGGGATATCTTGCCAATTGGATTGTTATTGTTGTGGTAGTGTTCACAGTTGAGAAAAATTGTCAATAACTTTTTTCCCAACAGCCTACATACAACCTGTGGAAGCTAGCCAATGAAGAGGAAACTTTCAAGTCAATACCATCTTGATTTTTCTGTGTCTTCTGTCCTAAGTATGTGGTGGTAGTCTTACCAACTTGATGGTCTGACCATCAAGTTCTGGTGGGTAATCAAGAGCAATGTCAATAGCCTATTGTTTTGGGGAGAGTCCCTGAGACCTCCTAGGCTACCACCTCAAAAAGATGGTACCCTATACCTGATAGTGGGTTTTTTTGATAACCTATTCTCCACCCCAAATATAGATTAATACTACTTAAATTTCATATATATATGAGTGGATTGATGATAGGTAGATAGATAGATAGATAGATAGATAGATAGATAGATAGATAGATAGATAGATAGATGTATATATAAAGGAAGATTTTAAAATAGCAAATTTCTCTATGGCTTTTTCAAATATCTTTACAGTTAATTATCTGTCCAAGTCCCTTCCCAAGAACAACAGACCTATCATAGGGTTTCTATTTCTGTGACAAAGTACCATGACCAAACCATAGAAAAAAGTGTTTAATTGAGCTTACAGTTTCGGAGGGTTAGAGTCCATGGTGGTGGAGAAAAGACATATGGCAGGAACACTCAGCTGCTCCTGATCGTATCTTGATGCTCACACCTTGATCTACACAAGCAGGAGGCAGAGAAGACACATTGGGAATTTCATGAGTCTTTTGAAACCTCAAAGCCTGCCCACAGTGACATACCTCCTCCAACAAGACTGCGTCTCCTAATCCTTCCCAAACAGTTCCACTGACTAGGGAACAAGTTTTCAAATATTATGCACCTGTGGGAGCCATTTTCATTCAGATCACAAGACACAAATAAGCATTTCTCAAAAAGAGTCACACAAGAGGTCTGCAGGCACATTTTTAAAAAATGTTCCGTGTCATAAATGACCAGGAAATGCAAATCAAAACCACACAGGATAGTACTTCACCTCAGTAAGATTGATTATTATAGTATAGATCAAAGATAATAGATTCTGAGAAAAGTGAACCTCCATACACTATTGATGAGAATATAAATGATACAGCCATAAAGATAACAGTATAAACATTCCTACAAAAAATTAAAAGGAAACAATACTATCTTTCTTTAATTCCACTGTAGGCCACAGATCCAAAGGAAAGTACTTTGAAGATACATCTGTACTTACTGCATACTGCATAACTGTTCACAATAGCCAAAGATGAAAAACCACTTTATAGACAGAAAAGGAAGCCATAGTGTATGTATGGAATGGAATACTACATAATACACAACCACAGAAAAGTTGAAATCCCATTATTTGAAATGAAAAGAACAGGAGATCATTATGCCAAAATCAGGTAGAAAAAGACACACATCACATGATTTAGTCACTCATATGTAGAATATAAAATTTGGTGTCACTGAAATTGAGAGAGCAGGATAAAATGACCATGGAGAGTAGAAGCAGTCATGTGGGGAGGCTTGCCCCGGCCCACGGGGCTCTGGTAATTCATGAGTCTGAGGTGGATCAAGCCTGAAAATAATGGGCGGAAAGAAAGAGCGGGACCAAGCAGTTTTTCTTGTCAAGATCTCCTTTTATTGATTATTATAAGGGGTTTTTAAAGAGAAAGGAGGAAGCAGAGAAAGAGGAAGTGGGGGGAGGAATGAATGCTAATTGCTTTCAGGCAGGTATTCGGAATCTCCTGTGTTTATCTCAAGCACTAACCTAAGGAAGTGGGGGAAGGAATTGGTGTTAGTTGCTTCTCAGGCCAGGTCCTGGTACCTGAGGGGTGGGATGCTAGACTAGCTGGCAGCTAGCTAGGCATGGGGGGTCGCCAAGGCTGGCTTCTGACAGAGGCTGACAAAGGGTTACAGAATCAGACTGAGGAATAGGAAGTTCAGATGTGCTACAGTACTGCATTCTAGGTGACTTCAAGCTATGTGTGTTTGGAAAGAAATTGTTATAAACATTTCTGTCATCACCAGATGATAGATGCTTGAGGGGATGTTTGCCTTGATGTTAAAGCCAAACACCATATCCTTATATCAAGCCACACATGGTGCCCTCAAAGTATGAACAATTTCATATTTTATATATTGGCTTAAAATAACTCACTTTAAACTAACAGGTGTAGAAGTAGGAAAGTACCTACCCTGTCATTGGTACAGCAGGAAACTTCAAAAAATGCTTATATTAGCTCATTCTTCAAACAATTTTAGCAATTTATTGAAATATTAGAATCAAGCAGAGTAGAACTTTGATTTTTTTTTCAGATAATCCCTCCATTATTCCATGAAGAATGAAGAGCCACCACTGGAACTAAGATTTCAAACACTCGACCCACCGCAGGGAGCCTAAGTGGGACAAAGGAGGCCTCTGGGAACTATGCCTGGGAGCAACCATGGAAACATACCAATCTAAGTTCCTCATATTCCACTGGCCCTGCAGAAACAGTGCCTTCTCTGTCTTTTATGTCTTAGAAACAAGTAACTAGAATGCATAATGCCATCATTATCACTGTTTTTCAAATATATGAGATCAATTCACACTGAAGAAATCAAATAGAAAAACTAATGCCAAGTAACCAGAGAAACACGAATGAGTGGGGGTGAGGGAAGGTGGTATAAGAAATACACAAGCCTTTCAAGAAATATCATGAGGAACTGGTAGAATCCTGTTGGCTGAATAGCCACGAGAATTGAGTATCAAGTAGAAGATCAACGATTTCAAATGCTGTTAATAACAAAATGATTATACTTTTGACAGGGAGGTGTGGTGACAAGGACTATTAATTACTAGATTGTAATCTATGAGAAAAACTACAGCAGAAAGATACGAGATAAGGGACTTTGGGGTTTGACCTAGGAGTCTGGCATATAAGCAGTGAGAGACGTGGATACAAATTCCTGGGAACCAAGTTCAGGAGGATTTTTTTTTTTCCCTCTCTTAATATAGTGTTCAATGTATTGTGCAGGCAAATGGTATGGTCATTAAAAATGAAAATAAGGATATAAAACAAGAGAAAGGGAAGTAAACAAGTGTGCAAGAGTGACACGGGAGAAGGCATTCAAAGAAAATTAAACAGTGGTACCTATCAGTAGAACACAGGGTAAAGGGCCATCATCAAGAACAAAGAGACGTGAGTGTGGCCGTATTGACACACTGAATGCTAAACAAAATAAAAAGGGAAAAATACTTGAGAAAGGGAGGACTGGTTATTCATTAAGAGATCAAATTGAACCCTTGAAGAAAGCACTTTTTATTGGTTTTAGAAAACAGAAAAGGGAACAGTGAAAAAAATCAGACCTTTCATCTGTGAACATCGGTGAAGAAAATTATTAGTTCAGTGAGAGTAGAGCTGAGTGATACAAAGCCGTGGGGAAATGCACGTGTCTTGAGGGGAGAGAAAGATACCAAAAGAAAGGGCAGTAAGAACAGAACTGAAAAGAAATGGAATAATTGCTGAAGTGAGGAATAAAGAGGTCAGAAAGAATTCGACTGCCAAGCATAGGATTAGCCCTTCAGTTGGGAGGCACAGCTCACTACTGAAAAAGAACAAAAAGATGACTCACTTAAAAGAAATCCTGAGGTATTTTAAGAAAGGAGGTAACTTCAGACTTAGTCCAAATTACCCCCAGTGTCTGTGTGAATGGCATTTTTGGGTGAATCAACCATGTCAAGAATAAATTATACACAGCAATCTTATGCTTCACTTGAATTTTTCATTTCATTGGTTTTGCTTGAGTTCAGTGTTGTGTCTGGTGCTCTGTGTCTTTGCTCTGTTTGTATTGGATTGAGAAATACAATGTACTTAAACTTTAAACTGAAAGGCTGGAGTCACACTGATGAAGGGACAAAGTTGCAAGATTTGAGGGGATTACCAAGGCCTGTTCACAGAGTCCTGGGAGCTAAGGTCTTGTTTTGACCAAAATAAACAATCCAGGATGGAGGGGAAATTTATGCTCATTGTCTCACTGCAGACCTGACCTGCGTTTTTGGAAAGGCAAGTCAAAAATCTCCCAGATGGTGCTGGCTGGCACAGACAATGAGAACACTGAAGGAGGCTGGTAAGGAGGAAGGCAGACACAACCAACAAGATTGTTCCACACCAGGCCTGCTTCGCTCAGGGCCAGATTTCATTTCCATGTGCTCAAAACTAGAAAGCTAAAGCTGTTTCACAGACCCCATGCAGCTACTGCATTTGCTATGGCTGCCAGTCAGATACTCATGCATGGACCTTCAATACAGGATGGAATTAAATGCAGAGAGAGAGGCGTATGGGAGATAATTAGCTGGTGGCAATGAGAAGACACCATGTGGCTCTCCCAACAGAGGGAAGACGATAAAATGTTTCTGGAGCCAATAGATCTCCCTGGGACTAAACAGCAGAACTAGATGCTGACGCTGAGACGGCTGTGTCCTTGGCAGGACAATTCTGGCATGCGGTTTGGGGCTTGTTACTGGAGACACAGTGTAAAGTCTCCTCCTGCAGCTGTTCCAGGGATTTAGCAAGCAATAAAATCCCTACATCCTATCCCTATCCCAAGGTAGCTGCTAGCTACTGAGACCAAACTCTGAGTAATACAAGAAGATAGATCAACAGACTACAGACCTGGGCCCAAGATGACAGCCAGATTTTTGTAGCATGAGAACTAAGAACAGTTTTCAAGTAGTTACATTTTAAATGATTCTATAAGTAAAAGTGACCACATAAGTCTATAAATAAACGATGCTACATTAAAGAAACTTTAGATCAATGGTTATAGTTCCTATCTACAAGTGTATCCCAAATAGTATATGGGAGGTCTGTGTATGTGTGTGTGTGTCTGTGTATCTGTGTGTGTCTATAAATGTCTGTATGTCTGTCCATGTGTCTGTGTGTCTGTCTATGTGTCTATATCTGTGTGTCTGAGTCTTTGTATCTGTATGTATGCATATTAAACAAAGCTTTATTGGCCAACCACAATATAAACATACCCTTAATAAAAAACTTTTCATCTGGGTCCAAAAAGACTACAATGTTTACTATCTGACCCTTCCAGAGGAAGGTTTGTTAAGCCCCTCAGTAAGCCACTTCTCTGCAACACACCACCCTATAGTCCCGAATCTGTTCCCTCAACTCAAGCAATAATTCGTGAGTGAACATACCCTATGTGAGGTGCCCTGGGGAGAATGCGGGCCATGTGTTCCTGGTGCTTCCTTGGAGACTGGAGAACTGAGATGGCCAGATCAGCTGATGGAGACACCTCGGAAAAGGGAGCTTCACTTCACCTGGAGAGCTGCACAGGTACAGCCTCAGAAACAGAACTCATAACAGAAACCACGAACCAAAGGAAAGGGGAAGAGGCCCACCTCTGTAAGGACGTAGCAGGGCTCAAGCCAGAAGCAGAGATATCAAGGGGTTATGTTACCATCCTCCACACTAACCCCACCCTTCTTTTTCTGCCATGGGTCAATGCAAACCTTAGTTCAGTTTCCCGCTCCTCAGGCAAGGGTTTTTGTTCCATCTGGGTCTAGAGGACTTCATATGGCAGCAGTTTTTGTGACACAATGCTTCACTAGGGCAGCTGAATCTAAATTGCACTGCTTCTCTCGATCTGCACTGCACCTGACCCCCAACTCGGAGATGCCATCGTCATTCAGGGGATTCATCCAAGAGGTTTGCTCCAGCCTAGCGGGGTCCCTTCTCTAAGTGACTGCAAGCATGTCAAGCCCAAACTCCTCTAACAAAACTGGCTGTGAGGATCTTCACTGAGTTGAAAGAGCAAGCTACAAGGCCCTCCCGTCCCTATCAGCTCCTCTCCCCTAAATCTCAAGTCAGTTTCTGCCCATATCTAGGTATGGTGTGGTACCTCTGCTGGGCCTTCGTTTCGGGGTTTGGGACTCCTTGGACAGGGAATGGGGATTCACTACCATCCTGATCAAAACTTTCTTGGAACTAACCCATGACATGAGAATTTTCTGCACTCCCTCCTTTTGCACAGGTATCAAAACTGAGCAAAAGTCTTCAGCTTTTCTGCCTACTTGAGCTCCTTATATCTCACAGGTGTCTGCAGTCTCTTAAACACTGACTCTTGACTTGATAGATGCTTCTCCAATGCAATAACACAGGAGTAGATGGTGTAGTCCAGGCAACGGATGACCCCACCCTGAAGGAGGATGCTAGCAGTAGACACAGACAAGCGGTGGGTCACCCAGGTCTTAATGTATCCCGTACCATATGACACAAGAAAACAAATTTTAAGTTATGTCAAATGGCGTTGAAGAGAAACCTGTGAATATAAGTATTTTATACAGCAAGGTTCCTTTTGAGATTCTGAAGTCAATGTTTCTGCAGGATTTAAATCGTGATCCCAAAGCTGTAGAGAGAATTTGCATAGCGATATGAAGCAGCTGTATATCCAAATACATTAATCTCTCTGTCCTTCATGTGTTCTCTCTTCTTGACAGGCTTCATCTGCCATTTAGACAATTTTAAATAATTTCCCAGGGCTCCTCTCCCTCACAGCAGCACTTAGGATGATTGTGCATCCTATTTTTAGCCATGTAGTTTATAGACACCATATATTCGAAGCTTTCCCACCACACCAGCCATCCCTGCCTGGGTCTACTCTCTGCTTGACCTGAGAATCTTGAAGTGACTCTGATCTGTCCTCTGCCTTCTCTTTTTACACTTGTTCTCAATTCCTAGCTTATCTCTTCCAACCCTGTTGGAATGCTGTTCAATATGCCTGTAACTCCCATTTTTTATATGTACCCTGATTTTTCCCAGTGTTCCAAGCTTGATGTCCAACTGCCCACTCAGTAAGCCCATCTGTATATCTAACAGGCATTTTGAACTTAAAACAGACAATGTGAACTTTTGATTTCCCACCAACATTTCTCCTGCTGCCCCCACAATCCCTCAGTCTACCTCCTCCAGGAACAAGCAATCCCCACCAAGCCAGTATCTTCTGCTCCATTGCTGCTTTCCTTCCTACACTCATGACACATCAGACAGGAAACAAGTCTCCAGGTGTTGGTGGCTCATGCCTTTAATACCAGCACTGAGAGGCAGAGGCAGGTGGATCTCTGTGAGTTTGAGGCCAGCCTGGTCTACAGATCGAGTGCCAGGATAGGCTCCAAAGCTACACAGAGAAACCTTGTCTGGAAAAACCAAAACAAAACAAAACAAAACAAAACAAAACAAAACAAAAAAACATGAAACATGTTGTAACATACCTTGTCAGGCCTGGCCTCTCATGTCACTTTTGTTCCTTTCAGTATCCTTCTTCTTTGTCATGAAACTTCTCATTATGTGACTGCTGTGTGTATATGCACTCATACCTTTGGTTTATTTGTTTGTTTGTTTGTTTGTTTGTTTAAGTTAGCTGTCTATTTACAGCTAGCTGTTTCTCCCATACCTACAACTATTACCTGACCATAATTAGCATCAAAAAAATACCTGTCAGATTAACAAATACCAAACAAAACAAATGAATGAATTAAGTGAAAGAGTGACCTGATTTTATCTCTTGAGGATTTATACTCTTACTCAATTCTTCTGCATATGGAAGTGTTCATGAATGGAGTCTTGGGTCATTTAAGCTCTCATTCCAACAGTCACAATTTTTATTAACATTTTTAACTCCCATTTGTTTATAGCTTTAACTTCATAGGCATTATCTGAACACTGACTGTGTGAACAGACACATCCTAGTTTTTAGAATTCCTAAATACTTACCAGAAGGCATCATCTCACAGCCAGCAATCAGCTCATTTCCAATAAAATTCAAATTCAGAAAAAGAAAGTTGGACATGTTCTTTTCCTTTGCATTGCTGTTAGTTTTATTCTTAGATGAATCATCTCCCCTGTATTGATGTAATGGATAATTGGACCTAACCCTACAATGGAGGACTTGGCAAGTCATCATTGTTTTTCAACCAGGAAATATGCATCAGTTATCTCCTTTTAGTTCCACCCAGAAGTTCATGAATTATAACCTTTTAAGACCTTCCTCTTGCCTGTGTGTTTAGTGGACACCAGTGCAGATTCCGCCTTCAACAGCAAAATAGCTTTTCTAATGCTCTGAGAGGTCAAGCCTAATATTTATGCCATGGATGATTTTACCAAGGATATTTTAAGATAAAGAAGCCTAGATGCAGCATGTAGAAAGGTCAGCATGGGTTCCTGGCAAATGGCTTTCCTGAGATCACTTTTCATTCCATGCATATGGGACTTTCTGAGGGAAATGATCTTTACCACCAAACTGCCAGGAAGTCACAGCACTTCATGAGAAAGGGAGCCAGACCTATAATCTTTCAAGTCCATGGTTATTATCTACAAAGTGAGCAAGTGCATGGAAGCTTCCTTACTTTTCAAAAAGTCTAAACACATAACCAAAAAGATCTGTTTCCCAGCCAGCAATCAGCTGGTTTCCAACGAGCATGTCTTAAAGGATCTGCAGTTCAGTGGTTGATACAGCAGAAAGTGATGGATACCACATGGATCTGAGCATTGAGAACTAATTAATTAGCAAGGCCTAACATTCTAATCACTCTTGAGCAAAATGCGCTAAACAAAGAGATAAGATTATGTGTTCATAAAAATAGTGTCTCCCCAAACATTGTCTCCTGGAGTAGGGGAAAGGGTCAAGATCCCCTGAGCAAATTGAGAGCAGGGGAAGAGGGGGGAGGGAGCTATGAGAATGAGAGGGAAGAAGAGGAAGGGTGCAGAGGTCATGAGGGAGCAGAAAGGTTGAGTCAGGGGAAGAATAGAAGAAAGGATATGTGATAGGTAGGGTTTTAGTTGGGAGGGTGGTAGGGGAGGATGGGAGGGAGAAGAGAACTGGGATTGTCATGTAAATCAATCTTGTTTCTAATTCAAATAAAAAAATGAAAATAAATAGTGTCTCCCATTCATCTCATGCTTGCAAAGAATATCAACCCCCTTAATGTAAATGTAGCCCAATACTGCAAAGACCAAATAAGTTTCTAAGTAATTTAATTCAACAAGATGAAATAAAAATTTTCTTTCTAAAAATTTGTATATACATTTTCAACAATATTGTATTTCAGTTACTACCAAAATATTCTACAAAATGTGGGCTACGCCTTCCCTTATAATGAGATTGATGTATACCTTGGTTCCCATTACTAGAGCCTTCATCCTGTAGCTATTTGAGGCAGAAACAGGCACCCACAGCTAAGCACTGAACCATTCTCCTGGTATCCAGTTGTAGAGAGAGAGGAGCAAAGGAGCAAAGACAGTGCTGCAGGAACCCACAGAAACAGTTTACCTGACCTAGTGAGAGCATGGAGACCCTAGTCATAAAGCTGGGGAAACAGCATTGGACCGAACCAAGCCCTCTGAATGTGGGTGTCACCTAGGAGGCCAAGACAGTCTATGGGACCTCTAACATTGGAGCCAGTCTTTAACCCTAGAGCACAAATGGACTTTGGGAGCCCATTCCCTATGGAGGGATACTATTGCAGCCCAGATACAGCAAGGAGGGCCTAGGCCCTCCCCCAAATGATATGACAGACTTTGATGGTCCCTGGTAGAAGGCCCACTATCCCTGGGGAGGAGTTGGGGGATGGGTTAGGGAGGGAATGGGGGGATGGATATGTAAATATGAGTAGTAATTAAAGAATTTAAATTAAAAAATGTGGGCTATGTCGTTACATAGGATGAATACCATGATTTCACAGAAAGTAAGGTAATAACTGAGGTTTTTTTTATTTTTTAGTTGTATGCATTAAATTCTATGCATTTATAGTGTTGCATGCACAGTGTTTAATGACCTATGGCTTCATAATATTGTTACATTTCTTTCCTGTGGCAGTATCTTATTAAGCTGGACTATTTGTTCCTTTCTTTATTCAACAGTCATTTATTGAGCTCCTACTACCTAATTAGTATGCTGGAAACTGAAATTGCACCATGAATAGTTATAGATGTTCTTAAGAATTCAGAACCCAGTTGTCAAATTTTATTTTGGAACTCTTAGAGTTGGACATCTTTGCCAGGCCTTTTATTTTGAGCCACCAGCTAGCTTCCAAATCATGACACGGAGACTTGTTAGTTCTGAATGCTCAGACTCAGCTTAGCTCTTTTCTGGCTAGCTTTGTAATTTTAAATTAACTTGTTTCCCTTCATCTACTTTATGCCTTGGTGGTTTCTACTTTTCTTTCTGTATATCTTACTTTCTCTGCTTTTGACTGGCTGGCTGGTGGCTACTGCCTGGCTTCTAGCCCCAGATGTCTCCCTTGTTCTTTCCTTCTTTTCTCATTCTTCTCTTCTCTTCTTGAACCTAGTCTTCTCCTCCTATCTATTCTCTCTGCCTGGCAGCCCTACCTATCCCTCTCCTGTCTGTTGATTGGCTGTTCAGCTTTTTATCAGTGCAATCAGGTCTGATAAACCTTAGGCAGGCAAGGTGAAACAGATGCAACACATCTTTACATAGTTAAACATTCACCTTTACATTGTTAAATGTGGCGTACACAAAAGTAACACACCTTTACACGGTTAAGGTTATATTCTGAAGTATAAACAGATGTAGCACATATTTGCCCAGTTAAAACAGTATTCCACAACAAGCATCTCTGAGGAATAGTTCAGTGAAATACATATACTGTGTTAATTATTTATTGACCTGCTTGTTCCCCCCACCCCCCACCAGATTGCCAATTCAGACTGGCAATTTCTGAGGACGGTAGTTCTCCTGCTTCCCCATTTTTTATCACATTGTCAGGTATATATTAAGTGCTCAGTAAATACAGACCACAGATGACATCAATTCTAAATGCCTAGAGAATATATTAGACCCTGCCCCCAGATTCCTGCCTTGAATTCCTGCCTTGACTTCCCTTCACGGGGAACTATAATCTGTGAGCAAAATAAACCATTTCCTCCCCAAGCTGCCTTTGGGCACGGTGTTTTATTACAGCATCAGAAAGCAAACTAGAACATCTCCTAAACTTAATTTTCTACAAATAAGTAAGAGATTCTATTGAAATGCAAATTACATCACCCTTCTTCTCAGAAACTCTCAGTGTCTTCCTATAATTATTAATCCATTATCTCCAACAAAGTTCATGGCACTTGGCATGACCTACAAGATGCAATGTCATCCAAACAATTTTCCACTGACACTCTGTTTACTTACTCTACTTTCTTATAACTGTAGCCTCCTAGCTATACATAGATTACATAGTATGCCCATGTGTGGGCATTTGCATTTAGATCTTTTCTACCAGTAACACATTTTTCTGATTATTCCCATAAAGAAAATAATAATATATCAGATAAATGTAAAAAAGCCAAAATCAACTATACTTCCCCTAGTGACATCTAACTGCTGCCAAAGAATTCTAGATTTAATTGTAATTCCCCAAGGTCAATCTAAAATAAATTGAAAGTGTTCAGTGGAGTTACAGCTTGATTTAGTCTAGAATCTTGCAATATATCAGACTCACCAGACTTATCTGTTCATGTAGGTTTGTAGAAATATGCCAATGTTATGGATTTTCTAGGACTAGATAGTTGTCAATTGGATAGAAACTTAATAAAAAGTTCAAATCCTCAAATCCTCAGCCAATCATACTGCAGGGAATGCCATTCATCTATCTTGTAACCAGATACTTAGCATGCTCTAGAAAAGCAACTGATTCCCTCAGTAAATACTAGGTTCTGTACTCAGTACTTTGTAAATCCCACCAGAAATTTGCCTTATATTTAAAAAGTAGCCTATTCGACCTCATAGCATAGGATGCCAAAGTAAGTGGCCATGCAGCTACTCCATCCAGCTATTCTCTTCTGATAGAGAAGTAACTTAACTGGGACCCAGGCAAGAGACTGCCTCTAGACCAATTGAGTCAGTGTAAATGACCAATAGCAGGTTAGGCTATCCCCTAAATAGCAAAGAACACCCCCCCCCCCCGTGCAAGAAGAAATAAAGCCTGTTTACCCTCCAGCACAATAGCAAAGGGCAAATAAAAATTATGCTCATTACTAGGAAGTTTGAGGGGGGGATTGTTGAAAAGTATCTTACTCACACAAAATTCTTCATATTATTTCATAGAGGCCTTCATTCTAATTCCTTTCATGGCACTAAACAGAGGAAGAGAGAAAGCTTTGAGGTTATTACCTCTAACATTCACACACTACTTGATGGGGGAAGTACTTCTGTGTATGTTCATCTTATTGATTGTTGAATAAAATACTGTTTGGGCACTGAGAGAAAAATAGGCAGGACTAGGAGTCAAAGAGGATTCTGGGAAATGTAGTAGAGAAGTGGTGCTCCAGGCAGGAAGTGACATAGCAAGGAGAAACAGGAAATGTCCCCCTTTCCCCTTCGCCTCCTCCAGAGGCAGGATATGAGCCACCGGCAAGGAAGGACACCAATAAGGCGTCCGATAAGATAAGTATTATAAAATATATAGATTTATGATAATTAAGACTGAGCTAACAGATGAGGAATCCTAGTCATTGGCCAAGCAGCTTTGAACCTAATACAAGTCTCTCTGTGTATTCATTTGGGCCCTAACTTGGGCAGTTGGCTGGCGTAAAGCCCACACGTGGCGGTGGGGCTCAGCGGCTTTGGCAGAAAGATTTATCGTAACAACTATTGATATAAGAAAGTATTCTTCCCACCAGACCAAGCCTGGCAGTGGCCCAAGTTGGCTGAAGTATGGCCATGTTGACATGAGTACATTCGTGAGCATGCTTTACCTTTTTCCCTGCCTATCCTTTTCCTGTGAATTTCATTGTACCTCCACTGCAGAACAAGCCAGGACATTTGCTGCTGTTATAATTTACCTCTACGGTTATGTATCCATTAGGAAGATGGTGTCTATCAACATAGACAATGTATCACTGTATTTATAAATGAGCCATACCTTGCTGCTAGGGAGACAGAATCTTCATCTCTGTTTCTGCCATATGTTTCACTTTTCCACCCTACCGTTTACTTTCCAGCCATGATGTTACCTGTCCTGTTAATGTCTTCTACTCAATACTCCCTCCATTTCTACATGAAACTGGTCTATGGTTAACAATGAATGGCCATGTCTGATTCAGGGATAGAATGACTTGTGTGGTTTGATATTCAGCAGCATTGGGTTTTGCTTTTTGTCTTTCTTCCTGCTCTTGTTCTTTCAAATGATATATATATATATATATATATATATAGAAAGATAGATAGAAAACATTCAGGTGTTTTACTGCCTTGAAGCTCATAACAATTGCTCTCAAAGAAAATAGTCCCAAGGGGATTCACTACATTATTCATCACATCAAATAACTGTGGATATTCTGCCGTGATGACCTTTGAAAACTTCATCACTGAAGACCTAATTTGTAATAATATAGACATTACAAAATCTTAACTAGGTTATTTAACCAAATATTCAAAGCTCATGCAAATCTTCAGAATATATATTCTAGGATTTCCTATTTAAAAACAAGTTTCCTAGAAATCTATGGTCTTTAAAGAACTTGACAACAGTCTGAAATGATTTCCCCCTAGAGGCTACTGCAGTCTCCCCCTCCTTCAAGCAAGTAGTACAGATAACCTTCCTCTACCTGTATTCTTTGTAAACCCACCAATAATTCAGACTGGATTCAGTCCTGACAAGACTTATTTCTCAATGTGAAAGTAGAAAGGTAGTAATGTAGAGAAAGAACTCATTTGAGATGCCGTTGTAACTTAACATTTTCTCCTCAAAATAATCACTTTCTTCTTTTATCAAAATTGTTTTTGAAAACAGCCATGAGCACTTCACAAGATTATAAAGTTCTACACTGCCTTTTTCATCAGAAAATGGTAATACCCATGTCATTCATTTGGGTTTGATATTTAGTCTCAGAAATCCACTGACAACACATATAACGTGGCACAAAATGTTTACAGTATGACAGGCTGCATTTCAGAATAATTAGACAACAAATCTATTGTGATCACCCAAACATTCCTATTGAGTAAGATGGGTATAAAAATCTCATCAATGGGACTTCACTTTGTCACATCCATAAACATGAACAAGTTCATGATCTTCCCTTCCTTTCTCCCTATCTCTGGAATTATATCTGATTCTGTGGTTTTAGAGAGTTGACAAAAACAACAGATTGTTTATTGAAAGAAAATTTTGCTATCTTTTACATATAGAGCAATAGCTTTCTTCTCTTCTAGACAGTTCTTCTAAAAATGCACAGAGAGAAAAAAAAAAACCTGTGGAATAGAGATGACAAAAGGCACCATGTTCGAAGTCCATCACAAGATTTGAGTTCTCTAAACTCTATCCTCTCTCTAATACAATTCACTGCACTACAGGTGTCATCTGGCTGGGTGTGCTACCTTTAGGAAACAAGTAGAAGATGCGAATAAACCCATGGCCAGACTGCTTATGGTGCCACAGAAGTAAAGACCTTTGACTCTGACTAAGGTCTCGTTCCTCTCCTGCCACCATGCATGAAACTGCAACAAACTCAGCAGCTTGCAAACAGGGCAAAACCTCTCACCCGTCAAGGTTCTCCATACTTTTTAAAAACACTAGCCACTGTAGGGAGGTAGCTGACTTAGTAGAGTGCTTACCTAGACATCTCCAGAACTGTATAAACTAGGCATGGTGGTACAGGACAATAACTCCAACACTCATGAAGTAGAGAATCAAAAGCTTAAGATCATCTTTAACTACAGACATACATCCAAAGCTTGTTTTAGGCCAGTCTGAACTGCATAAGACTCTATCTAAATTGCAATAAAAGATACAGCAAGAGCAATGTTCTCAAAAACTGATGAAGTCCTGGAAACATTACAGTGCATCCTACATGCTGCCTCGCTAATTACTTTGCCTTCAGAAAAAAAACTAACCCCACACAGCTCTCTTGAGAAGCTCGTCATAATCATGAAGGTATGTTCCAGTGACAGTGGAGCAGGAAGATGACAAGAATATCCCAAAGTCAGAAGTCTCTCACTTTCCAGCCAGGCACAGTGGTCTCTGAGACAGGAGGTGGAGGGAAAAGACTGTAGGCAGGAGGTCTGCTGTTTGTTATGTCTACCACAGTGGGAGAGTAAGAAACCGCCCCAGATAGTTGCAGTGGCAAATGGAAGCTCCTCCGACTTCTGCTAAGTCCAGCATTTGTCTACAAAGGAACAGCATCTGCAAGTGCTTTGGGTTCTACTGGATGGTGTTGCATATGGACAGACGCTTTGAACATAAACTAAGAATCCAAAGCTTAAGTCAACATCACCATTAAGAAAAAAATGGTAGATATCTCCCACCAAAAAAAATTAATAAGCATTCTACACTCTAAACCACTGGAAGGAAAAATGTGGAATGTCTCAGGAACTCCATCTCTACATACTAATTGGACCAGATCATCCTTTGGAACCAGCTACAGTGATCCTAGTCGTGGAATTCTTCACATTGTGACAATTAAGATCACTGTGACTGGTGAAACTTCTAATTACAAATTAATTACAATCAGTATTACCAGAAACCAACTTGCAAACGTCTTTTTTTTTTACTAAAGATTTGTTTGATCACTCTGTGTGTGTGCGCATGCATGCATGTGTGCCAGAGAGAAAGTGTATACTGTAGGGTAGTGTATGACAAAGAGTATCTTCCACTTCTGCTCTCCACTTTGTCTTTCCAGATGGGTCTGTCACTGAACGAACCCAAAGCTCACCAGTTGGCTAGATTTGCTAGCCAGCAAGTTTTGGTGATTTGCTTGTCCCTGTCCTCCATCCCCCTCAACAGAGGGCTACAGTAGTGCACAGCTGTACCTGGTTTTACCTGAGTGCTGGGGATCCAAACTAAGGCCTTCTTGCTTTGGGGAAAAACACTTTTACTGACTGACCCACAACCCACTACTTATTAAGCATCTGTAAATGCAATGGTGTGCTGGGAAATGTTTAACAACCAGCTCTGAGGGAAAAGTCCTTGGTTCGCAGTGTTTGAGTGTCAAGGGTGTATCCTCCTACCACTAGCAATTCAGACTATAAACAACGTTATTGCATGAGAAATGGTTACCGTTAGTTTTCAGGACCTGAGAGAAACAAGTCCCAACAGTAATGAGATTTATGGGGGAGTAAAGTCAAGAGCTGTTATCTTGGTGTGCACTAAAATTGAAAAATTCTGTCAGGTAGGTTTTCAAGAGTCAGTAAGTTGTTTTTCACAATTACATACTATTGTACATATACATGAGGACAAAATGTATCTTTTTTGTTCTTTTCTCATACAATGCATCCTGACCTGATTCCCCTCCTTCCACTCCTCCCAGCCTCCCCCACTGCTCCTCCATTTCCCTTCATAAAAGAGCAGGCCTCCCAGTAATATCATCTGAACATGGCATAACAAGATGCAATAAGACTAGGCACAATCCCTCATATCAAAGTTGAACCAGGCAACCCAGTAGGAGAAAAAGAGCAGGCAAGAGTCAGAGACACCCTCATGTTGAGGTCAGAGGGCCATGTGAAGTAGTCACTTCTCTCCTTCCGCCATGCAGGCTCCAGTTATCAAACTCAGGTCATCAGGCTTGGTAGCAAGTGTCATTGCTCACTGAGGCCTCTTGCTGGCTCTCTTGCTCTCTCTCTCTCTCTCTCTCTCTCTCTCTCTCTCTCTCTGTGTGTGTGTGTGTGTGTGTGTGTGTGTGTACATTTACAAATACATTGCAGTAGCAGAGTACTTTTTCTAGTACTGATATAATGAATTGCCACAAATGTAATGGTCCAACACAGTTTATTACAGTGCTGTTGATAAAATACTACATGGGTTTCTTGGGGGCTAAAATCAATATGTCATCAGGGACACATTTATTTCACAGGACTTCTGGAGAGAATCTGTTGCTTTGCTTTATCCTAATTTCTAGAAACGTCATTCCTTGCTTGCTTGACATATCTTTTTGCCTCTGTCTTCAAAGCTAGCATTATCCACTGATTTCTACAAACTCTCTGGTTCCTTACTCTATTTTCCAGGATATAAAGCAAAATCAGGCCATTTGGATGGTATCCTATTGTAACGTCAGGTGATAAGCAGCCATCATTAGCAAACAAATTCCTTAACATATTAACAAACTCCAAGAAATAGGTTGTATGTAGACATCATGAGGTTGCCATTGGTCTACTTAACATGTTTATGGTCTTTTCATGTATTACACATATACCAAAAGTAATGTTGGTGAACACATATCTATATC